AATAAACGCATTTTCAAAAAAAAATTGGCTGAATATGTAACAAGCACATTTAAATTAAAAGGATATCATTTTTGTTATGATTAAAGTTTTTAAAGTTTTAACAGCTCAGTTGCATGTTATTGCTTTTCCCGTTTGCGGTTTATGTATGAACAACTTTCTCTAGCCTGAGGCGTTCATGAATATCAAGCAGCCTATCCAAGAGACTGCGAAATGTATAAAGAATGAGCCAGCCTATCGCAGGATCACTGTCCATTTCTCTATGATAGTTTTTCATCGCAAAGATGCAGTTCACTGGTAATTGAACGTTTCCACTGATCTGTTCTATTGCTGTGCATAATTCCTGGCTGATCAACATTTCTGGTATCGTTTTCGCAATTTGACTTGCCCTATCTATCTTGGTCAGCAAGGCCACCATTTGAAGATTATCTGAGGAAATAAAAGTGTCAAGAAATCTATGACAACAGTTCACAATGGTAAACGCTAACGAATCTTACCAACATAACATGATATTGGTTTAGTATTGGTATGATAACATTTAAAAAGTGATAACTATAGCGGCGGTTGTAACAAAATCCTCAAAAAATCACCTTCAGTCGTAAATGAAGCCAACAGAAGTCACCTTTTTGTTCGCAATGGCATAATATACCTTCAAACAAAATCTGATTAAAATCGACGAATATCTAAATTTCGACCAATCAGAAGCCTGGGAATGGAAGTCATTTTGTCCAATCAGAAAACAGAATAAGCTGCAGTATTGTTTGCAATACAATTATACACCTACTTCCAAATTTTATATAAAAAGGTCAATATTTTAACGAATCAGAGGCCAGTAAATGACGACTATTTTAACCATCAGAAATCAGAAGCTGCAGGAGTGTTTGCAATAAAATAAAGCACATGTTGTACATATCAAATTTGAGCGAAATCGGTCAATATCTAAATTTTGGCCAATCAGAGGCCACGACAGTCATGTTGGATGACCAAGCAGAGAGCGAAATGTCATTTGCATGCATGAGCACTCCTATACAGTTCCATTGAGCGTTCGAAAAAAGAGACAGAAACCCTGACAGCGGAAGGAAGCAGAAGAAACAATAATCAAAATAACTAGATTTGCAAATGCGAGCAGTAGCAGAAGTCACCCCCGACATCGCAACTCCCATCCCCGTCCACCCACTATACCCTCAACCACCGAGGAAATAGCTCAATGTGTTTAAATTAGCAATATACACCTTCACACTGATTTTTATGAAAAGCAAACAATATCTTTACTTCAACCAATCAGAAGCCATGGCACGACCACCATCATGGACAATCACAAAAATAGGATGCAGTTGTGAAAGCAGTGAAAATATATACAGCAATGCCAAATTTTTGTGAAATCTGAAAATATTTAGGTTGCGTCCATGTTTGGTGTCGGGTAGAAAAAAGAAGACTAAGTTAGGAGATTATATCTGCCAATGAACATGCATGCAAACGTTGCGATAATTTTTCAATTTCGACTTATTAGGAGTCACTACGTTGCGGATATTTTTTTCCAAAATGGTCAATTTTCTAATTAACGTTTAGAGCTAATTGTAAATTCATAGCTTTCACCAAGTTTTATTAAAACAAATTCAACAAAATTAATGTCATGTTAATTTATCTCCTCAACCAATATGTTTGATCCTTTTTTCTCAGTGTATATATCTAAATGCATTGCATTAATTCAAAGGTTGTTTGTACCATATTTCAACTTCAAACAGTGAAATATTCCTGTCATAGATTCTTCAACTTTTTATTTTGTTTATTATTATTATTATTATTTTCATTCATCCTATATTTCGAGAATAGTTGAATAGTTAAACATATTATAATCAGTATAATTGAAACTGCAAGGCATTACATTGTCCTCATTGAAATGCCATTTAAATCTAATTCAGGGCGATGCATGTAAGAAAAACAAGTGTAAAATACATATTAATAGAACGAACTTGAGCATTTACGTGAAGCTGGGAGAAACATTTTCAATTTAAAAGTATGTCAATGTCTTTGAAAACATTTCGAATGAAGTAATATACACGGCTTTTAACAGATCAAGTCTTTTTCCTTTCGTCATGAATCGTCTTTTTTCTTTCGTCATGATTCGTTGAAAATACCTTTAATACTTTTTATTTTCCATTAAGTTTGACAGAACATCCTACTCGTTAATGACACAATGATGAAAGGTTTCAGATAATTGTTTTAACCTGTGACGGCCACAGAGTTACGAATGAACCGGATGTCTTTATTGGCTAAAGAAAAATATTACATACCTCTTGGTTTGACATAGTCATGGACCTGCTTCATGCTTTCAAGCTCTTCTTCTGTTAGCTGATTTGAACAGTCCTTGACATAGACAATACACTTCGGTGGATCGCCCTGACAGAAAAGTGAAAAAGGGAATAT